CGGGGCCGCGGCTGCGCCCTGCGTGGGCCCCGCCCCAGCGGAAGGTGAATCCCTTTCATTTTTTGCAGAACTTTGGGGTTTTTGGGGATGTCCCCGAGCTGCAGGTGACCTGACCCCCACCCTGAGGTACAGCGGCCGCTGCACCAGCCCTGTAAGGACATTCTCTGTCATTCCCTGGGGTTGCAGTGCCTGCTGGGACTCGGGCGGGGCCGCGGCTGCGCCCTGCGTGGGCCCCGCCCCAGCGGAAGGTGAATCCCTTTCATTTTTTGCAGAACTTTGGGGTTTTTGGGGATGTTCCCGAGCCGCAGGAGACCTGACCCCACCCTGAGGTACAGCGGCCGCTGCACCAGCCCTGTAAGGACATTCTCTGTCATTCCCTGGGGTTGCAGTGCCTGCTGGGACTCTGCCACCGCACTGTGGATAAAAAGGACCTTTCATTCAAGTTTAATGCTGGTGGGACAGCCGTAAAAAAACCCCAAATAAATAAATCTACTGAAAATATCGTCTGTAAGATCCATGCTGCTGGCTGTGGAGACCAATTTTGGAGGCATTTTCTATGCAGTCAGTCTGACTCCGTCACATAAAAATTAATGTACAGTTTAATCACCACAGTTTTCTGCTTCTCTTTACTGCTTTACAGACATCAAAATAAATAAAATGAGCAATGGATTCTGTTATGATGTGCATTATTAACAGCATTGTTTATTAAATTCTTAATCAGTAACATCTATTTATTTGTTCATTGAAAACAAATACTAATTTGATTGCTGAAGTTTTATAGCTGTTGAGATATGCAGTAATCAGGAATTATTTCTGGCTTTTAAGTCCGATTTTACAGTAAACACAAAACCTAAAATAATTTCCAAAAAGAGGCACATATAATAAATTCTTAAGCGAGTCTTTCACTCCCTTCAACTACAAAAAGCTTGGTACAGCATCATGCAGTGCTTTAAGACAGAAGGCAAAACCATTCCTGGATACATTTTTGAACTTCACATTTTTCTGGCCAGAAAGAGCATATTTCATTATCTCTTCTATGTGTACTCTTGCATATGGCACTTTTTCACAGCAGAAACCACAGAATGGAAGTAGCAGTAGTCTGCAAAAATCATAATTACTCTTATGGTTTGAACAAAGGAAGAGAGAAGATTATACTCTAGGTACAGAGATAAAGAAACTGAACAAGAAACTGACAGATACTCCTTTGTCTCTGCACTTCTTTTTTTCTTAAGGGCAGTCAAATTAAATCAATATGTAGGAAAACATTTGATTTGCAGAGCAGCATTCACAGCCATCCACCAAACTGCAGTTTGTTTGGTAAATAGACTCTGGACAGGTAATCTGACGAGACAGAAGTTAAAACTTGAATTTCAGCCTTCAGTTTAGATGCTGCCATAATTTCCAGCTAAAAGAGGAAAAAAAAAGAGGAAAAATTAATGTGTGTAGAAAGTTAAGTAAGAAAATTCCATCCACTCATTGTATGTGCAAAGTGGTTCAGAGAGACATTCCAGGTTTTTGTAGAAAGTTAAGTAAGAAAATTCCATCCACTGTGCATGCAGAGCTGCAAAGTGGTTCAGAGAGACATTCCAGGCTTCCTCAACCTTGTCTTCTTTTAGGGCTACAAAACCTGGCTGGTTCTGCTGTCCTAGGAGCTTGTCAGAGACAGGATCTGTCCTGTGGGGAGGAAGAAATAGAAAACAGTAGGTTTATACAAACCTCTTTTTTCCACAGTGGCTGACAAGCAATGTAAGGTCTCTTCTGAATACTTGCTAATTTATTTTCATCTTGCTTTGTAAATGGAATCAAGGCATCTTTGCATATGTTTAATCTGGAAAGAAAATAAAATTCTTACATTTTCTCACACACTTAAAAACATATTTGTTCCTCTTATTTCCTTATATAAAGCCAAAAAAAAATGCATGGAAAGAGTAATGGGTTTAAATGGATTTTTGTGTAGTAAAATTGCATTTCCTGTCTGTGAAGGAGAAGGATACTTCTTTTTCTTCTGAGGAAATAACTCACCTCTCAAGATCAGATGGAAGGAGACCAAGCCACTTGACAGAGGGAACAGTGAGGTGATGGGCCTCAAAGGACATTGACTGGAATGAGAAAGGTCAGCTGTAACATTCAGGGATCTGTGGTTTAACTTGATGTTCTTTTTCCATTTCTCTCCTGAACAGTTCACCCATCCTGCCCTCTGCCTCACCCATACCTGCCTGCCTTCCATGTAGTGTGTCCATGCCTTTTCTGTAGCCATGTAACATAATGCTTGTTCCTCTTTACTTTTTCCATAATGTTCCACACTAACACAAGTATCCCTAAGCAAATTCTCAGTCCAGAATAAAATCTTTACCAATATAACATTATTTTGTGGAGAATCACCCATCTCACAATTAAGTTCTCCTGCTCCCAAGGTCCCTCCAGCCTTCATTCCTCTTCTAAGGCAGAAACAAATCTAAATGGTGAACCATTTTCTGTTTGGGTTGTCTGAAATCTGCCTGTGCAGCAGAGAAAAACTGAAATATGGTTAAATGAAACACCTGGCATTACTATCCAGTTTCTTTTTGTTGCAGGAAGAAGCTGTTTCTGCAGACACACAAGGCCTAAAAATCACCTCTTTGTGTTGAATCAAAATGGTAAAAGGCAGCACCCATTCTGACAAAGGCTGTAGCATTTCATGCATTCCAGCTTCCAGGCTGGGCAATAAAACAAGGTATTTGAAGAGGAAAAAAATATACTCACCACAGATCCGTATTTGTAGACACACATTATTTCTACACCTGGGTTGCAGAATAGCAAAAGTCAAGTGTCTGTTTGTCTGCACAATGGGCATGTTTAAGGAGACTATTTAAAAATAAGTTTCATGGCACAACAGTTATGGCTTTATGATTAGTGAGCTTTTTATGGTTTACATATATTTTTAGATTATGTCAAAACAATCAGAATCTCGCATGTGACTTTCATGTAGTTAAATGTTTCACATTATCTGTGTGCAGTCAATTCAAACCCAAGGATAATCAGCTCTTTTACACATTGTCCAACATCTCTTATTAAAAGTGTCTTTCTTTATTCTGTGTAATTCAAATCTCTTAATACTATTTATTTGAGCAGCTGTTTCTCACTTTGCAGTATCTCCCTAATTTCAGGTGGGATCAGTGTAGATACATCACCTTCTGATTGTGTTGGATTTCTGAGCTCTCAGAACCTTCCCATAAGAGTGAGAAAGGACATCCTAAACAAATTTTTTTTTCTTTTTATGCCTTTGAGCCTCTACACATTTACCATGTGGATCTGCATCCATAAGGGTGAAAATAGGAATTTGAAAAGAATCCCACAGCTTCCTGACCAAAAGTCGTGTATTAAGATCTGGTATGCCTCTTCCCTAAAGAAATAAAAGAAAAGCAGACAGTTTTATATTAACTGAAACAACATCTGGTTACATATGTGTTTATATTTGCCATTTAAAAGCAAGCAAACAAACAAAATGCTGGCAGAAACATTTCTCCAGCAGCTGTTGTGCAGGGAAAGTTCTATGCTCGTACTTTGGCTTTGTGCAGAGGGAGGGCCAGGCTGGGAGCAGCTGGGCAGGTGTTCTGGATTATGGGCACTGCAGGAGCATCAGACATTCCTCTGTTCAAGGAGTTAATTTATGAGGTCTGGGGGTTCATACATAGATGTAGCCTGCTGTCTGCAAAGGCTGGTGTAAGAAGGCCACTTTTTTATCTTAAACTAATGTTTATGGCACTAATGGAGCACTACAAAACAAGTTCTTGCTATGACTGACTGAAGCTGGACCATTTGTGGCATAGCATAGTAGAAATGCTTATCTCTCTTAGGAATGGTGAAATGTTTTTTCCTCATTGTATGCATATTTCGTTTACACATTCCTGTTCATTCCCCTGGCTCCATAGCTCTTTCAGTACAGTCCAAAATCAACCAATTCTGTTTCATTTGGGTTTACAAAACCTCAGGTCCTGAAGGACAAAAGGTCACTGAACAGCTGAGCCTTTCTGAGACTGAGCAGCAACTTTGCAGCAGCACAGGAAGCTGATAAGCTACCAAGCTCTAAGGAGATGTTTGGAGGAAATAAGCCTTTAGGGCATGTATTTCATATTTCTATGAGGATAATTAAATTTTAAATATTATTGTTAAATATGTTTCATATTAATTTTATTATGGCTTTTTGCCCAAGTTAGAGCAGCTCTACAATGGTAAAGTATTCCTTAAATTAGGTGTAGCTGGAGGATATGAAATACAAGGTGCATACCGTGATCATGATACATGGGGACACCTTACTGAAGAAATCATCATCCAGGAGTCTCTGGAAAGTTGCATCTTTTTCTACAATTAATATAAATTTGGCATGTGAGGTTAAATCTTTTGTGTTAAGGCCAGCTGCGTGTAAAATGATCCGTCACACCAATCAATTAAAACTAGCAGCTCTAAAATACCTGTTCTGGAGCCAAGAGCAGTGATCATGACTCAATTCCAGAGCCAACAAGGAAAGCAAAAATTACCAGAACGCTGTTTAACTTGGAATATTTCTTGTTTTTACTTTCTTTTTTTCCGTCTATGATTAGAGTTCTTGCTCAAAGGATACTTTTAATTCCTTGAACATTAGATGGCACAGTGACTGCCTAAAACAACAAAAATGAGATTAATCATTTTAAATAGAGAAAATGATATATTTTAAAATAACAACATTAGGTAATGAAGGACACA